GGTAGCTACTCCTTAGAGCAATCAACCATGAGAGCTCAAATGGGCAACGTCTGCGCAGGGAGAAACCTCAGCAGACAGGCAAGCTGGGACAGGAGAACTATGATGGGAAGGAGGAGGAAGAAAGCTGCCACCCTGTGGGGACTGCAGCCAACGTCACAAAACAAAATGGGTAGGAATCATTGAATGGAAAATCAATTTGCTCTGTAAACTTTCACGCCAATCACATAAAAAGTTTGAGATAATAATTTAGTATCAAATAATAAAGTCCTTCTTATGATGACAGGAGGGGTGCACCAAGTGAAACACAGCACTCTGACCGAGGAAGCAGGGAAGCCAATCTGCCTCTTACATGATTCCAGCCAAGGTCACAGAGCAAAGGCAAGAGTGAAGGGTGTGGGGTGTGCCAGGCCACAAGCGAAGATGCAGAACTCTGAGGAACCCTCTGGCAAAGGAAGGCAAACAGCAGGTCACGGAAGGCATGGTGAGCAGGCGTCCTGGGCGAAGACCGGGGAGCAGGAGGCGAAGGCCCAGGTCCCTGCTTTCCTTTGCCCCCAAGAGCCAATCAGGCAAGCTGAACCTGAAAACAAGGTCATTACCATAAAGCACGCGTATGCTACCTGGAGAAGAAAAAAAAGCCTTTGCTCCCAAAAACCATGATTTTCAAACTAGAACTCTGGGAGTCGAGGCCAAAGAAAGATCACAGCCGGGACTAAGCATGCCTTAGGAGATGAGATTTAAGAAACCTGAAGGCTGGGATGAAGGGAATCGTGGGCAGCGGCTAAGTACTTGGAGGGGAGCCTGGACGTGTCTTGTCAACAGCACTGTTCCTACAGAAGGAAGAGAGCAGCTGGAGGCAAACGGTCTTAAGAGGAGAAAATTTTCCTGAGCAGAATGAACCCCAATCAGCTACTGGGGACTGAGCACACAGGAGGGACTTCAGGTCCCATGCAAATAAGGCACCCCTGGGGAAATCCCACTTGTTAATAGTCGAAAACGTGTTGCTACGTGCCGTCGAGTCAGACCCGACTCGTAGCGACCCTTCCTTGGGTTTCCGAGGCGGTATCACTACAGAAGTAGATTGCCCAACCTTCCTTCTGAGGAGTGGCTGGTGGGTTTGAACCTCCAGCCCTCTGGTTAGCAGTCAAATGCCTTAGGCACTGCGCTAAACTCGACATACTTAACTACTTCAGCGAGTCTAACAGTTGGAGGCGGATGAGAGCAAAAAAGCAAGGCAAAGAATAAAAGTGGTCTAGGCAGAAGTGAGGTGCTCTGGTGGTGCAGTGCCTAAGGCATCTGACTGCTAACCAGAAGGCTGGCAGTTCAAACCCACCAGCCACTCCTCGGAAAGAAGGTTGGGCAACCTACTTCTGTAGTGTTACCGCCTCGGAAACCCAAAGAGGGGTCACTATGAGTCAGGGCGACTCGACGGCACACAACAACAGGCAGAAGTGATTGATACCTTGTGTTTTCAAGTAATTGACAAGCTTCTGATGATAAAACAGAAGAATGACAGTGGAACTTTGAAATGGAGAAGACAGAAAAATGACAACTTCATCAAAACTAACAAAAACATGGGAAGGGAGCAAGAGAAACAAAGAAATGATAGCAATAAACATCATGCCAAGAGGTGTGAAAGCCAGGAGTACCTTCACTGTCTAAACCTGCAAAATGCAGACTCTCTCAACAGACAGACATGTTAGAAAAATCAACTGACCGACGAAGCTGCACGCTATGTGGAAGACACACAACACACTGAAAGCAAAGTGGCAAAGGCCAAGGGTAGAGGAGCAGCCCTAGGGTGAGCAGGTCAGAGCAGACACAGAAGAGGGGACACAGTCAACATCAGCCAAGGTGGGGCGGAGGGTGAAAGAGCCCAAGAGAACAAAAGGGACGGTATACAACGATGGTAAAGGAGCCATTTACAAAGCATAATCGCACTCAAACACCCAACAGACAAGGAATTGCAGCAGCTAAATACATAAAGCAAAGACTGTGAAGAACAAGGGGTGTCTGATCAAAGTACAAGTCACCCCTCTCAGAACTGGAGAGACTGCCACCCAACACGAGCAAGGGCAGCCAAAGACTGACACAGTCATCAGTCAACCGGACAGAGAGAGACAACCTCAAGGGAAGAAAATAAATTTTTAAAAACTCAAAGAATTACCACATCCCTGCCATGAGAGAGTGAACTTTGTGTGTCCACCAGCCTGGGCGGGGGTACCTCGCTGCTTGGTCGAATGCAACTCTCCATGTGAAGGTAGCTGCGGAGGTGACAGACACAACCGGCGGACTTTAAGGAGATGACTCTTGATGACGTGGTAGCCTCACACAATCAGGCGAGGGTCTTAAGAGCCAAAACGGAGGTTTCTCAAGGAAGGAGGAACCCACTCAAGACAATGACGCAGAAATCCTGGTGGAGTTTGCAGCCTGCTGGCGGTTCAAACCCGCCAGCCACTCCTTGGAAGGAAGGTTGGGAAATCTACTTCCATAGTGATACTGCCTCGAAAACCCAAGGAGGGATCGCTGTGAGTCGGAAACGACTCAGAGTTTGGAGTTGAGACATGCCCTACAGATTCCAAACTTGCCAGCTTCCCTCCCTGAGTGACCCAGTTCCTTAAAATCGTTGTCTATTCATCCATCCTGACTGGTTCTGTTTCTCTGGAGTACTGGACTCACTTAGGCCAGAGACAATCGAAACAGACTTTAAACAATACTCTTAAAGCCCATTTGCTCAAATCATAATCTGATAAAGTTAGAAGGAAAAACAAAAAGAGATAAGAGTAAGACCTCTTAGTGGGAAATCCATTGAGAGCCTGAGGGCAAAGCACAGGCACGGTCCGGTGGTCCGGTCCGCAGAGGGGACAAAAGCAGAGCCCGCAGGACACAGCCAGCTCCACCCACTCCCAAGACTGGGGCTACGGTGTTAACACAGGACACGGAAAACGCAAACACTAGGTCCTCAAGGTATTAGATGAATAAAATAATTCCAAAAGAGAAGAAGAGAACAGGAAGGCAAACGGATCCCAAGCCTGGTTGTCTGGAACGAATGTCAAGAGGCTTGATTTACGACAGAGCAGATACAGAAAAGGCGGCATCATCCCAGGTACAGGTGCTACTGGTGACAGGATACACAGCTGGACGATTGGGAAGGAAGCACGCCAAGGGACCAAGGTGCCCAGACCTGGAGGACTTGCCTAGAACAGCCCGTACGGCTGAGGGACAACTCTCAAGGAAAAAGGGGCAACGACCAGCCAGAGTGATGGAAGTGAAGGCCAAGCTCCTGGAATGGCTGGTCAGTGCACCTCTGTCTCTCGGCTCACTGAGCCCTGGGCCCCTAGCCACCACTGTGACCTGGTGAGGGCACTGACCAGCCATTCCAGGAGCCTTGCACCTTGTGTCTGCCTGTGCTCCCATCTCCTCAGCAGGCGACTCAAGGGGGAGAAGGTGACTTTCACTCCTCCC